ATAGATAGATAGATAGATAGATAGATAGATAGATAGATAAATAGATAGATAAATAGATAGACAAGACTCTCAAGGAATTTATTCCCTTTTTTATTAATGAAGTCAGGAGCCTGGAGATGGCTCTTTTTTAATGTACTCCTTCAAGAAATAAAACCAATTCATATGTGATCTCTTTCATCTTTGTGTGAAAAAAATCTCTGGAGAAGAAAAAGAAATTAGATCTGGGTTGTTGGAACATGCTCCAAGAATGGAGTAGAGTGAGCAGAATTCTGAGAGCTTGTGAGAAAACTCCAAGAAAACAGGGCGAGTCTTGTGACCTCAGTTTCTTTAAAAACATGGAACTGTTCTAGCATTGTGCTTTCGTGCCCTTCCTGGGTGTAGCAGACAGGAGTGAGTTTACTTCAGATCACTCGCCACAAGTGGCCATTGTCATTTATTTATATGCCTCTAGGGGAAACCACGTTTTTGCACATGTGGCTTGCCCTTGTGATTGAACACTTTGCTCACGTGACTCTTCTTAACCCCCAGAGTATAAACTGTCTGATGCTCTGAATAAAGGTGGCTATAGCATGAGACTTTGGTCTGCCTCCTTAACCAGCTCTGCTCTTCCGGGAACCTCCACACCTAGAGTGATGATGGTCGATCAAAACCCTTAAATACCGCGGTCTCTAAGACCTTCCATGGTCATCCTAGTGGAGATGACTGCAGCTTGTTACCCAACCCAGGCCTGGAATACTTCTTCCCCATCTAAGGAAGGTAAGAGTTTTAAGTTCAGGAGAGCATGAATAATTCATTTGAAGGTTCAAGATGGTTAAAGAGAGTGGTTTTCACAGAACTTGACAACAAAGTCAGCTTTCAACTCTAATATTCCTGCCTTGACCCAGAGCCAAATGGAAGCAGTTTTTGCCTTTGGGATTTATTTCTGCTCCACCCTTCCTATATGAAAAATTCTAAGGCATTCTAGCTTTACATAGTGTCCTTCATTATGTCCCTGCTCTGGATAGGCCCCTGTCTTACAAGTAGTATGGTTATTGGGGTAACTGAGGCAGGAAGCCTTTTCTTCCTCAAAATTCAGCCCATGAAACTGAGGAACTTCAAAATGTGTGTATTGTCATGGCTGTCTCTTAAGAAGAAGATCTCCGTTGAGCTTATGGCTTTTCTGAGTGATGTCACTGCTCTCTGCTGAGTGATTTCTTAAGTTTCCCTTAGAAGCATTAGCAATATGAAGCAATGTTTCTTCTTTGGGAGTGTGGAAGAGCTGCATTCTCAGCTTCCTGTCAGCATCTAAATCAGCATTAAAACAGGACATGGCTTCTGCTTCTATGTGGTCCTCTGGCTTGGGAAGATTTTAGAAGTATTTGCAGAAATTGACAGGACCAGCAGTCTTTCAAAAAGCAAAGAACTTCCCTCAATGGTGGGGGTGGGATGGGGAGTGTGGCTCGGTGGTAGAGCACTGGCCCCGCACAGTCAAGGTCCTCAGTCCAAGCATTAGAGAGAGAGTGTGAGCATGCTCATGCACGCATGTGCGCGCGCGCACACACACACACACACACACACACACACACACACACACAGAACAAAGCATTTCACAAATGTGTCTTGTCTATTTCTTATATAAGAACACAGAAAAATGAAGATGAGGCAAATGAGTTCAAGTGTCGTTTGTCTGAACAAAGATTGATCTTTGTAAGTATTGCATTCATCCCGTGGCTTGCCAGCCCCATCCTGACCTTTGAAAGCCCTCAATGAATTTGGGGATAAATATTATTAAAAAGTCCTATTTCCTGCACTCCTAGGGCTCAGTTGTTTGAGAACATCATTGGTTTGCAAGAACTTGGAATACTGGAAAAGATTTTTTGAAATTTCTAAAAATGCATTACTGAACAAACAGTGAAGAAAGGAGACCGAACGAGGCAGTTGAAGTAGAGGCAAGGAGTGTGTGCAGAGATGTGAACAGCACTGACATTGGCTTCTGGGTGGAGCAGGGGACAGCTGAAACATCTGTCTTGGCTGATGCCTAGGGCACAGGGAGAAAACAGGCACGGGTCTACCCTGAGTGGGGACATAATGAAGGACACGGTGTAAATCGGGCGTGCCACTGACTTCTCTTTCAGGAAGGAGAGAGGACCAGGAACAAACCTCAAGGAAAATGCTGCTTCCAGTTTGGCTCTGGTGAAGGGAGGGAAACTGTAGTTTGAAAGCTGACTCCTCTGCAGAATTTTCACCAAGAGCCCCTCTCCTTTTCTATCTTTAACCTTCAAACTAATTAAGTTTAAAGCGCAGTGGATGGGTTATGCGTCCTGGAGTCTAGAAGAAGCCAGCGTACTAGATGTGATTCTTAGTACCACAAAAGAGAGAGAGAGGGTCTAAACACTTTCTAGAAAACTCAGAAGGAATTACCCATCAATCCTCCAAGGATTACTCCTAGTCACTACAAATTTGCGTCACACGCCACAAAGAACAAGCTACCACCACACACAGGTACCCAGCAGCTACAAGGTGTAGAAACACCAAATCCAGAATGTGTTTAAATATTGATGGCACAGAAAGCATTGAGTAAGGTTTAATTATTTGAAGTTATAAAAGAAGTTTAATATCTGAACAAAAGAGCGAAGGTAATAGACATAGGCAGGAAATAGCCCCACTCCTAAAAATATCATAAAATGTAAAGGGGCTCCAAACTGCAGCTTAAACCCAATTTAAACCAGAAACTACTGAACTGAAAAATTGATTTGAAGAAATGGCTCTAAATGCAGAACTGAGAGACAAAGAGATGAAAACTAAGAAAGGTTAGTAAGGGACCTGGAGGCGGGGATGAGGGGCTCTCTCTGCATCGCATTGCAGATTATTAACAAAGAAAAGAGAATAAATGGGGGAGGGATTTAAAGAGAGAGACTAAAATGGTGGCAAGGTTCTCCTCGTCTGGTCAGAAGCCCAAAGGCAGCAAGGTGTGCACAGATTAGAACCAGCTCATTACCAGCTTAGAGGTAACAGTTATGGAGTATTGTGCCAGGCATTGTAACAGTATTTTATGGGCAGCTACTTCATGGTCAGATAAGCAAAGACGTGTCCTTACCGGTGTAAAACTCAAAGCGACAGCCTTCCTTTGTGGCGCAATCTGACATAAAACCTTCGTCCAGTTGCTCTGGTATAAACTCAGCTCATGTGACTGACTTGTGAGCTGGTTCATGTTTGTAATTTTGTCACTTTCGGGTTGAAATCTCTGTCTTGCTTTTTTTTTTTTTTTCCCTCCAGCCCTTCTCCCCAGAAGTGTCTGTAGGCACGGAGCTGTAGGCTACTTGATCTACATCAGCAAATGCTTGGGCATTGGCATTTTCTGAAAGGACCTGTCCTCATAGTAGACTCTGCCATGGTGCTTCTGAAAGCCACCCAAGCCCAGGTTTCTCATATATACCTACGTGTATAATGTATGTATAGAGGATAGAGTTCGGACATCTGGTTTTTTTGTTGTGGCTGTAGTTACATAGTTTGTAATGGCTTGGCATTCCAGATTCTTCTAGCTTTTACAGTCATGTGAGAATGTCAGGTTCTAACTCGTAATTCAGATGTGAGTTGTTCATCTTTTCCAGCAAAGCATGATGGTAGCAGCATGCCTGTGTTGGAAGCAATGGGGAGACAGAGACAAGCACTCAGAGTAGAAAGCTAGCCTTGGCTACATGAAAACTTGGACTTTTTAAAAAGATATTTTTCCTAAGCAAAGAGTGATACTGGATAATTCCAGCTGTCTATGTAGGTTAGTATTTGCAGGTGGGCGACATAGGGTGCTGAGTAGAGGTCAGGGAGAGGGAGAGATCTTTTCCTATTCTAGAATCTGGAGTATACAATAAAATACAAAATGGCTATCCTGAAACAGAGAGAAGGCATACCTTCCTGAAAATCCTCAAGAGTCAAAAGTCCAGTCATCCTCGTGACAGTTCTGGAGTGCGTCTTTTGGCGGGGGTGGGGGCAGGTGGGGGGTGGGGGGAGGTATGGGGGGGGGGGAATCACTCCTGTGGTAGGTGCTTTATCATCTTCACTGCTTGCTAAGTCCTGGGATGACAAGCAGCCTGGTGCTGGCGCTGCAGTGGCCTTGGGGACTCCCACTTGATGGCAACAGACAGCAGAGCTAGCCTAGCTCACGAAAGTCTTGCCACACTGTCATCCAGTAATAGATGATTTTTCATATAAATTTCCACGGCATCAGCGAAGTAATTTCGTCATAAGTTTCTTCTTACTATAATGCATTAAGCAGTTTTAATTTTCTTTTTATATTTATATTATTTTATGTGGAGTGGCACTATTTGGAGGTGTGGCCTTGTTGGAGTAAGCGTGGTCTTGTGGAAGGAAGTGTGTCACTGTGGAGGCGGGCTTTGGGTCTCATATATACTCCAGATGCCGCCCAGTGTCTCAATTCACTTCCTGTTGCCCGTAAGATGTAAAACTCTCAGCTCCTTCTCCAGCACCCTGCCTCCCTGTGCACCACTGTGCTGCACCATGAGATAATGCACTGAACCTCTGAAAATGTAAGCTACCTAATTAAATGTTTTTCTTTCTTTAGCAGAGTTGCCATGGTTATGGTATCTCTTCACAGCAATAGCGATCCTAACTAAGACAGCATCTAAAGGAAATACGTTTTATTTAGGCTCTCAGGGAGGAAGGCACAGTGACAGCCATATGAGAAGCAGCCGGTCACCCCGAGTTGGCAGCCAGGAAGTGGAGAAAGGTGGATTTCTCCCTCCTCAACTTGTCTGGCACCCAGTTTAAAGAATGGTGCTACCTCTTGCAAGATAGGTCTGCCTCCTCGGTCAAATATTCCTGAAAACTTTTGCGGAGACAGACCACAGGGTTTGTCTCCTATGTGGTCCTAAATCATGTCAAGCTGACAATCAGAGTACCATCGCAGACTCTGTTGCTGAATTCGGGATCAAAAATGTGACTCAGGAGAGTTGACAGGTGAGGAGTGGGGAACAAATACATACAGTGAGATCCTGAGGCTTTTCCATGGGCCCCGCCTTTTCCTCCTTTCAAAGTTAGAAGGAAACAGACTGTTGTTGTGGCTAGTCAATCTTCCCAGGCACCACCACGAGGAAAATAAACTATTCTCAGCTAGATAAGAGAACCATAGCACAGCTGGCCTCGTCATTGTAAAACCTATATGCTTATTAATCATCACAGTTCCATCACACTGCTATATATACATACTTTTATATACATCTTCTGCTTACACTTACTGCAATGAATTGATGTTATCTCTTTACACTTCAATCTGTGTGAGTTAGGAGCTCCTGCGGCACCGTATTCTCCACAGTTAGTACTGATCCAGGAACACAGTAGATACTGGAACAACGTTTGCTAAATAAAGGAACGAGCAAAATATTTTTTTTTCATAACAGAAGTCTGAAAATCGATGGATTATCCTTCAGGATGCTCTCAGTATCCTTTCAGGAATCTGACCTTCAGGAAGCTCCATGTTGATCTACTGAGAATAGCCTCGTGACCTAAGATCTCACTCGACTCTGCCTGGTGCTGAAGGCAGCCTTTTCGAGGTTTCAGGGCAGCTACCCTGGAGAAAGATGGCTGCATGCTTCACTCCCTGACTCTGGAGAGAAGGCATGTCACTGACTGGGCCTAGCCAGGAACCACATACTTAACCCTTGACCACTTTCAGAAAACTCAGATCTGTGCTCCTAAAGCAATTACGAGCCAGGCAATAGGATTTACACAATGGATTTGTAACTGCATGAAGCTGACCAGGATCTACCCTACCATGGTGATCAAATCCTTCCAGCCCCGTTCCTCTTACACAATAGAAAGATGAAGTCGAGGAATTAGCAGCAAGCTCCAGTAGAGATTTAGATAGATCATTAATTTTAAATAAAGTGGCAGTTCTTACACTTTTTTTCTGTCACCAGCATAACTGGAGTGTCTTTATAAGGAGGAACAGGCTGTGCAGTGGTGGTACAGTGCATTAATCCCAATACTCGGGAGACAGAGGCAGACAGATCTCTGTGAGTTCGAGGCCAGTGAATTTCAAGAGAGCCAGGACTGTTACCTAGAGAAGCCCTGTTCTGAAAAAAAATAAAGAGAGAGAGAGAGAGAGAGAGAGAGAGAGAGAGAGAGAGAGAGAGAGAATAAATGAATAAATAGGAACAGTATTCACATCAAGTATCTACATGGCCCATACCTCATATTGTCTCTTTGTCTCATAGCCAAAATTAAAGGTCTGGGGAAGGAAGTCATGGCCATAGCTTGTCATTCTTGGTATTGTGTCTGGGACACAGAAACCAGAGATTGTTTTGTCAATAGCCACAGAAGAACTCAAGGACAAATGTTCCCCTAACATTTCTTCCAAAATGGTCAGTGTGGAGCAAAGAAGGTCAGATGAGGGCTCTGAAGGACAAGCTCAAGAGAAAAGCCAGGTCTTGGGAGAAAGGTATCCACAATGACACACAATAATACACAATGACAAAAAGGATAAAGGAAATGGATGGACAGACGGATGGACAGACCTCAGTAGGCCCAAGGAGTCTGTGGCTATCATGTGAGAAAAAAAATCCCGGAGTAAGAAGGTAGAGTTTGACAATCCACCCGTAAGCACACCATCCTGCCCGTCTGTAAAATACAGCCCAGAGGTCGCACAGTGCACCCCAGATGTGAACAGTGTCTCCTCTCTTATTGGGCAGGTACAGAAAATCCTCCCATTAAACACATTCTTAAACGTCTGAGAGGGATTACAGATTAATCATGTAGTGACATTTTGGTTGTAATATAACAAATAAAGCTTGCCTGAAGATCAGAGTGCAGAGCTGAGCCTCTAGTTAGTCATGGAGGCCAGGCAGTGGTGGCGCACACCTTTAATCCCAGCGCTCGGGAGACAAAGGCAGATGGACCTCTGTGAGTTCAAGGCCATCCTGGGCCACAAGAGAGTGAATGTCTAAAAGAGAAACAGAGCTCACATAAAGGTGATCCAGCACTTGGGATCACCCACCTTTAATTCCAGCCCTAGGGTGGTGGAGACAGGAGTTATATGGCTGGGCAAGGAAAGGAATATAAGGTGGGAGGAGACAGGGGCTCAGATGCAGTCTGAGGATTCGTGGAGATAGGCTCGCCTCTTTGGTCGGAGCATTGGTAGAGGTAAGAATTCTAGTGGCTGGCTGTTCTGCTTCTCTGATCCTTGAGCATTAACCATTAACCTCTATGTCTGACTTCAGCTTTTTTTTTATTAAGGATAATTAGAATTCGTGCTACAAATCAATACTTATAAAGCACTTAATCATTTATAGTTAACCAACAAGTGTTCTCATTTCTCTCCACCTCATTCTATACATGGAGAGAATAAGCTCCCGGGCAAACCTAGTTCTACGGATTTCACGGCATGTGCTTGTGCATCACTAAACTCTGAAGAAGATAACCAATTGTCCACATTTGGGATGGAGCAGGGGAGATGGTTGAGTTAGCAAAGCCCTTGCCTTGCAATCATGAGGGCCTAAATTCAGTCCCCGAAGCCCACTTAAAAAACCAGGCACAGTGGAATATGTCTATAACCCCAGTCTGGGGGTGGGGGGGGTAGAGACAGAAGGAACCCTGGGGATTTCAGATGCTGGTAGACCCAACAAGTTCTGGGTTCAATGAGAGAGCCTGTCTCACAATTACAAATGAAGGAGACTGACCACAGGGTCACCTTGACTAGAAGCCTGCTACTCAAAGTCACACACAGCCCTGGGCCAGCAATATCACTGTCACCTTGGTAGCATATGAACTTTCAAACCCTACCCCAGACCTAGTCAGTCTGAATGCCAATTTTTGTTTGTTTTGGTTTTATTGGTTTCTTTCTTTCTTTCTTTCTTTCTTTCTTTCTTTCTTTCTTTCTTT